GGGGGGGGTTATCATGGGCTGGCCTACAGTTTTCTCTTTTGTTTGCCAGTGTTTAATTCTGGAAGTGGAAATATAACCCAAAGTTGAAATACTTACTGTGCCCCTCAATGGATGAGAAAGAATAAAACTGTGACCCAAAAATAATAATCGGGTAGAAGGCCAAATAATCATATTTCAGTCTAATCTCCGGAGTATCTAACCTGGAATTCCTGCTCCAGCTTCTTCTCAATCCACTCAGTCACATGGCCCAATGTCACCAATCTCTCCCCTAGTTTGGGCCGAGCTTTCAACTCCAAGTGTGGTGGCTTCCGGAACCCATACCTGTGAGATAAATCAGCAAACAATAATAATCGGTGCACCCAGAGTCACTGTCGGCCCTCCAATATCCTAATAACGGGGGCAGATTATGAACAACTTTAATCAAAGGGAGATGTTTCTGGAGTACACCCAACAGTCAATGCAGATAGCACTGTATGTGAAACCAGGACCCCAGCACTGTCACCACCACCTAGAAAGGTAAACCCAGCACTCACCATATGCGGTCAGTAGGTGGCGGTGGAATGTTAATGGCGAGTGTCCCTCGGCACTCCTGGACCTCCACAGTAAGCAGCAGCGGAGTATTGGACACCTCCTCCATCTTCTTCTTGATGAACTCCGTCTCAGTGGCTTTCTGGAAATATTTTGACTTGGTGATCTTATCGACAAACCTCATGATCTTACTGGTGCGATGGGGTCCCACGTACCTGCCAGAACATACCATGGATTGCACCATTAGATGTAGACAGAGTTATGGACGGACTCTGACCATTCATATACACACAGGTGCTCACCCCTCTGCTCCAGGCTGCTGCTTGTCCCCTGATAATTCTGGAGCATCTTCCTCATCTGAAGAACCAGCACTGGATGACTCCTCATCACTGTCTGCCAGGTAGTACGCCCGTGGCCTGGCCCTGGTGGAGACAATGGTGTCGGTTCATTAACCCCGTCTCAGTCATTGTACTCCTCACCATCATCTTACAGTCACAAGTGTTGATGTTGCATTGGAATGTCTTTTACCATGAAATGAAATTGTAACTATTGGAAGACTTTATTTCTGAAGGAATTGTACTTGAGGTTATTTCGTTTCCATCCCTCGTGGCTTTATCTTCTCCAAAGAACCTGTGTACCCCAGCCAGAACCATGCCACATTAGTGATCCCCTCACTGGTGCCAACCCACCAGCATGAGGATGACTAATTACAGCAAGTTACCTCCTCGTACAGCATTGCGTCCCCCTCGCTGCCCGATAGCTACAGATTGCCGCTCCTCAGCGACAGAGCATCATCTGACCGCTCTCTTAGCAATCCTAACATGCCCATTATACCTGTTTCATTATCTTTGTCAATTGGAACAAAAATAAGAATTGATGGTAAACTCAGCTGATCTGTGTAATAGAACCTTACATGAGATGTGACTGTTACAGGATACAGATAATAGCACATGTAGAGAAAGCGTTTCCATCAGTGAAATCCCAATACAAAGCATTAGGAGATAGAAGCTGTGCAGAGCTTTCTTTATAACTCCGGGCATTAAGTGACACTTGTTAAAGGTTCTGCCTGGTTACTGCTGATCAGAGAGACAGGGGGGTCAGTCACATGACATTGATCAGATCTCCTGATTGTCCTTCCTTCATTACAGGGTCCCCAGAAATCAGTACAGTGATGTCAGAGGTATGTGACGGAAGAAACGCCACGCTGACCTCAGGATACATAAGGTATGGTACAGACTCATCCCAGGTACAGTCACTGATCTTATGTGAGGGTACGGAAGCAATATTACTGCCTCATAATCTCAGAAACATTCTGTTTCAGCTCCTAAATGAGAGGGCCACAGGAGAGGGGGAATAGGGCCACAGGCACCCTAAAATTCAGCAGACTTGTGTGTAAAGATTGGCAGGGGACAGGAGACTGTGTGATAGGGGGGGAGGAAGAACAACACACCCCAGGAGATGCTGATGAATATTTCATTGTGCACATTATTATGTTTCATTCATACGCAGGAAATGAGGAATCTATTTATAGATGATTATTTACCGGACCCTCTGCGCCCACAATGCAATATGATCATCACACAACTTACCAATTCCACATCCACAGAGGAGAGCAGAGAAGAGAAATGTACAGACATGTTATATGCAAAACAAACACTCTCTACTCTATACACTCATTGCATTCTTGTGTCCCCTGATCCTACCAGTAACCTGTGCTGTACCCGACACCCCCAGATCCTACCAGTAACTTGTGCTGTACCCCACACCCCCTGATCCTACCAGTAACCTGTGCTGTACCCGACACCCCCAGATCCTACCAGTAACTTGTGCTGTACCCCACACCCCCTGATCCTACCAGTAACCTGTGCTGTACCCGACACCCCCAGATCCTACCAGTAACTTGTGCTGTACCCCACACCCCCTGATCCTACCAGTAACCTGTGCTGTACCCGACACCCCCAGATCCTACCAGTAACTTGTGCTGTACCCCACACCCCCTGATCCTACCAGTAACCTGTGCTGTACCCGACACCCCCAGATCCTACCAGTAACTTGTGCTGTACCCCACACCCCCTGATCCTACCAGTAACCTGTGCTGTACCCGACACCCCCAGATCCTACCAGTAGTAACCTGTGCTGTACCCCACCCCCCCTGATCCTACCAGTAACCTGTGCTGTACCCGACACCCCCTGATCCTACCAGTAACCTGTGCTGTACCCCACACCCCCTGATCCTACCAGTAACCTGTGCTGTACCCCACACCCCCTGATCCTACCAGTAACCTGTGCTGTACCCCACACCCCCTGATCCTACCAGTAACCTGTGCTGTACCCCACACCCCCTGATCCTACCAGTAACCTGTGCTGTACCCCACACCCCCTGATCCTACCAGTAACCTGTGCTGTACCCGACACCCCCTGATCCTACCAGTAACCTGTGCTGTACCCCACACCCCCTGATCCTACCAGTAACCTGTGCTGTACCCCACACCCCCTGATCCTACCAGTAACCTGTGCTGTACCCCACACCCCCTGATCCTACCAGTAACCTGTGCTGTACCCCACACCCCCTGATCCTACCAGTAACCTGTGCTGTACCCCACACCCCCTGATCCTACCAGTAACCTGTGCTGTACCCCACACCCCCTGATCCTACCAGTAACCTGTGCTGTACCCGACACCCCCTGATCCTACCAGTAACTTGTGCTGTACCCCACACCCCCTGATCCTACCAGTAACCTGTGCTGTACCCGACACCCCCTGATCCTACCAGTAACCTGTGCTGTACCCCACACCCCCTGATCCTACCAGTAACCTGTGCTGTACCCGACACCCCCTGATCCTACCAGTAACCTGTGCTGTACCCCACACCCCCTGATCCTACCAGTAACCTGTGCTGTACCCGACACCCCCTGATCCTACCAGTAACTTGTGCTGTACCCCACACCCCCTGATCCTACCAGTAACCTGTGCTGTACCCGACACCCCCTGATCCTACCAGTAACCTGTGCTGTACCCCACACCCCCTGATCCTACCAGTAACCTGTGCTGTACCCCACACCCCCTGATCCTACCAGTAACCTGTGCTGTACCCGACACCCCCTGATCCTACCAGTAACCTGTGCTGTACCCCACACCCCCTGATCCTACCAGTAACCTGTGCTGTACCCCACACCCCCTGATCCTACCAGTAACCTGTGCTGTACCCCACACCCCCTGATCCTACCAGTAACCTGTGCTGTACCCCACACCCCCTGATCCTACCAGTAACCTGTGCTGTACCCCACACCCCCTGATCCTACCAGTAACCTGTGCTGTACCCCACACCCCCTGATCCTACCAGTAACCTGTGCTGTACCCGACACCCCCTGATCCTACCAGTAACCTGTGCTGTACCCCACACCCCCTGATCCTACCAGTAACCTGTGCTGTACCCGACACCCCCTGATCCTACCAGTAACCTGTGCTGTACCCCACACCCCCTGATCCTACCAGTAACCTGTGCCGTACCCCACACCCCCTGATCCTACCAGTAACCTGTGCTGTACCCGACACCCCCTTCTGTACCCTGGTGTCCTGTACCCGACAATCCTCTCCTGTACTGAGCATCCATTCCTCGTGTCTATATCCTCATTGGACATACATCTTCCTCCTCCTCTGTAAGCAGACAGTGTAACTTACCCCTCTTTTCCGATATCAGTCACTTTCAGGGCCTCCCCAAAAGGCTCTTTCCCCAGTTTGGTCAGATTCATCTTCGTCTCCAAGGTCATGAGAAATGATCCATTATAGGAGATCTCCAGATCTGTCCAGAGCCCTGTGTGAGAGAGACGGGACAACAATTGGCCATCACTCTACAGTGCCAGACTCGCAGCAGCTTCCCATCACACAGGATATTGTCCCAATGCTACCTCTGTGGTCAATGGTGGGTTTGTAGGCCTGGAGGATTTTCGGCACAGACACCCCCATATCTAGTTCCGTCAGCGTCAGCTCATTCATAAAGTACGGCAGCTGCAGAGACACATAAGGATATGAAGATAGTAAACATTGAATAGAAACCATGCCGATGCTTTGCTGATATGAGCAGGTCGCATGGATCAGGAGGTCGCATGGATCAGCAGGTCGCATGGATCAGGAGGTCGCATGGATCAGGAGGTCGCATGGATCAGGAGATCTATGTACTGGATGTGCCCAGTCACAAGGTTTGCTCATTTCATACAAACGTGATGCACTTGTCCTCTATAAATAAGGGGCACCTCATACAGGAATGAAGGGCAGAGATATCTAGTCATCATCCTCTTCTGGGCCAGCCCATACATAATGACGAGCACTTTGGAAGCCCTGGGGTAGCCCCATAACACCCTGACCCCCTCCCCAAGTGTCACCCTGACCAATGGAATAGGGGGCAGGATGGAAATGATTTGTGTGCAGCAATAGAAGTGGAGAGACGGGGAGGCTCACTGACCATACGCATACAAACACCTGACACAATGATGGTTCTTCTTGGGACACGGCCATTACTTCATGTTATAAGCAGCTTACTATTCAATGTATGGATATGACCAGAATGCAATACTACATACATAGCGATCCACTTGGACAAGAAGGATAATGTTTAGGATTGCTCTGGCCTGGAAGTCACAGAGCACAGCTTGACATTGCAGACAAGGGCCTGTATGTTGGGGTGCGCATAGGCCCAAAGCCATGCAGGCCACCAATCTGGTCATTGATCCTGTTTGTATTTGTGACTTACACCCACCTTTATCTTACTCAGCTTCATCTGAATCTTCTTAGATACCAGGTCTGACCAGTACTTTTCTCCCAGGAAGTCCCAGAACATACGTCCAAGCAGAGCATTCACCCAGGCCTGTGGATCTTCAGCCACCATGGCTGCGCCAGTCTGTGAACAGACACAAATCATGTCACACTGCACCCCATCATATACATGAGATCGGTCACCAGACCAGACAAGGCTGCTGTCACTAGATACAAATGGGCACATTTAGTGCTGAGATTGGCCGCCCCTTTCACAATGGCATATAATGATATAAAGGTAGCATTATAGGTTTCATCCATATCATGGGCTATGTTTCACAAGCCTTGTGCCCAAACCTGGAGGCTAACTACTTAACTACAGATCCCATCTCACCTTCTTGGCAGCAGTGGGACTGCTGTTAGTGCTTTGTACAGGGCTTTCATCAGGGCTCCTCTCATCTTGTGGAATAGACTGGGCCATGTAAACATTGTAATCCAGCAGCATTTTCTGCTTAATGCTCCCTGGACATTCCTTACTGCGTGGCTGGGACATGACTTCATCCATACTTCCCTTACTACTACTCCGGCTGTGCGTCAGCAGGAGACCTGGTGAGACAAAACAAGACTGCCAATACCGGGGTGGGAAGAATCTCTCAAAGAGCAATTCATCAGAGAAAATATGTTACCTGCTTTTATTGCTGATGTTCCACAAGACTTTTTGGATTCAGCTTTCAGTTTGGAGGCGCCAAGAAAGCTTTGAAACCATTGTTCCTTCTCTCGGCCGGTCCTTCCGAACAAATACAATACTTGTTCCCTGTTGCCGAGCGCTTTGCCGCCATCTTGTGATGAGCTGTCTCCTTTCTCCTCAATGCTGTCCTTATCTACCTGAGCTTTGGACATAAAGTCTTCCTGGTGGGCAAGTTCCAGACAGATGGGGTACTTCTTGTTCCACAGCCGCTTACGTGCCAGGCTCCTAGGGACCAGACTCACCTACCCAAGAAACAGACGGAATACCTGAGTTTAGGAGTCTGAAAATAACCAGCATACCAATATGCATTATTCTGAGACCTTCTGGGGGGTTAGGGATGTGCTGAGGCTCTAGAGTCATACCGCCTTCTACTTGTGTTGTTTGCTATGATAAGATACAGTTACCTCCACTCTCTCATGTCTGGACTTGGATTCCTGCCTCCGAGTGGCAATCTGACATCAATGTGCCAGTCAGGAGAAGTAGGAAGCTGGGTTCGGGGGTTGGATCAGAGAGATATCGTATATTGCAGCCACTGTGCTGATATATTTGGATGAATGGACCAATGCCAGGCAGCCCGACAACCTCTGAGCTAAGACTACTGGCAGAAATACTACCCAATGACACCTCAACATCTGCTCTCTGCACTGCTTGTGCCAACAGTGGACCCACCTTGCAGTCTACCAAGTCGTAGATCTTCTGGCTTACAAAGACCTCCTCAGGTTTGGACTCGTTGTAGCTGGCTCTCCGCGAGATGTTCTTGCTGGGTTTGGAGAGACGCAATGTGGAGCCTTCCAAACGCACGAACACGGAATATGTCAGGGTGGCGTGATAGGTCTCTGGGTCATAATTTTGGATCTCATTCATCCATCCCTGGGAAGGAAACAGACAAAAACCGAGTAATGGAGCATCCACAGCCCCCAACAATAAGAATGATGCATCAACCTTGGAAGAAGGGAGTAAAATAGGTGAGCTGGAGGACACCTCCCAGCACTGGCTTATCTCAGGGCAACTATGAGAACTGGAATAGGTTTCCAAACCTGCACAATCAATCTTACCTTTGCCATGCCCTGCCTGCTACATTGACGTCATTGTCTATAGAGGATATGGACTGCGTGCACTTTTGGACTTTAGTGGGACTATGCTAAATGAAATGAGCAGTTTGCGTGCTGCAGGCAGCTGTGCTATTCCAGAATTTGTCATTGTGCTTCTGTTTCCTGTGTGAAAATACATGGTTTACCTTGTAGAGTAGCAATATGCTGTATGTGATGCTCAGATCTTGGAGTTATTCTTCAAACTACACTTGTATGTGTGTGGAGGAGATTAGGTCTTTGACAGTTGATGGCGGAGTCACAGCTGGGGGACTTGTTATGGTAGATATGTATCCTGAGATCAGCAGAAACATAGGGGTACTGTGATCTGCTACCAGTGCTCAACGTGGGGGAAGATAACAAGCATCAGAGGGCACATTACCCACTTCCACTGGGGTCAGGGGTAGGGAAGAACTACAATGGCTACTGTGGAAGGGCAGCAAACTAAAAACCAAAATAGCAAAGGCAGCAGCACAGTAACATACAATATGCTATCTACCCATTGCCAAATTCATATTTTGAGAAAACCCAGTGAGAGTGTCTAAGTAGCGAGCAATGGAGGACAGTACAACTGCTGAGTGGCATTTTATAGCAATCACTGGCCAGCCCACGGGAAGACATTATCAGAGAAAACCGAGTCATCACAGTGCAGTCACATGGGTGGGCGCCTATCCGATATGCAAAATAGAATTTGGGAAGAAGACACTAAACAGCTACCTACCTTCAGTATTTCTGGTTCACTGATGTTCAGTGGATCTACAGCTGACTGGCGGAGATAGAGACTCTGGTTTAAACGACAAGAGCGTGGAGATGCAAAAAGCCAAATCATACCAATAGCAGCCATGAATCCAAAGGCAACTCCCAGACAGAGTCCACTGACATAGCTGGGGAGGGGTAGTATAAAATATCCATAAACTAATGCAACCAGGAAATAAAGCACCTGCACCGGAATGTCACAGCGTTCCACATGTACATCCAGCTCCTCCTCCTCACTAAGAGAGCCAATTCTGACCTGCTCTTCAGAGTCCTCCACATCTTGATACTCCTCGTTTTCCTCAAAGTCAAAGTCTTCCGAGTAGAGCTCAGTGAACTCCTCATCCTCCTTACTGGCCAGCACAGACAGAGAACACTTCTCCAGTGCTAACGTTGTGGATTTGAATGGAGTATCCTTATTGATCAGTGTTGCCCCAAGCTCCTTGCTGTCCTCCGCTCTATTTCTGATCTTCTCATCTTTCAGCTGACTGGATTCACAGGTGGAATTATCAGCCTCCGTGTCTCCTTCCTCCTCCTTGATACTGTAGTTGTTGTTGTTTTCCATGTGGCCATTAAGACTGGAAAGGTTGGAGAGCTCAGAAGCACTTGAGGATAAGGCTTTAGGCCTGTAGCTTGAAGACTCCTCTCCCATCATTTTACTGAGAAGCTGGAAAGGTTCATAGATGACCTCCGAGAAGCGTCTTTTGGTGTCTTCAATTCTAGCCTCCATTTCTGGGACCTTAAAGAAGGAACGGCCATCAGAAGGGGAGGTAAGCGGAGAAGAAGGGGCAGTTTTAGAATCACCTCCAGTAACGCGTGGCTGGGTAAATTGTTTGAACAAATGTAAATTTATCTTGGAGTCTGGTGGCCTGTGTGAGGCAGAATCTGGATCCTGCTTCGAAGTGTCTGTAGACAATGATTTGACTAGTGTTTTCATTAAATGCCTGTGCCGTATAGACATTGTGGACTCCTTTGGCTCCAGCTCAGTAGAGAGGGATTTAACTAAACTAAAAAATGGCTTTGAGCCAGAGATGGATGGAGATGATGACAACGTGACAGCCTTGGATGGAGAAGAGACTTTTACAGGCTTCTGTTCCAGGCTGGATGAAGTGTTGGCAGGTACAGCATCTAAACTCTGTTGGGAAGTTGATGTTGACAAAGATGGTGGCAAATCACTGGACACTGTGGATGAAGAAGCCTCAGCAGCATTAACAGTGTATCCTATTGGCGTAGTGGCAGACGATGATGTTGGCATTGATGTCTCTGTTACGGCCATGCTAGAAGAGGTAGCAGGACCGGCTGTCAAGTCTATAGGGGTGTCAAAGTACAGGTCCTCTTTGGCTTCCACTGCTGTGATAATGTTCTGGTCATCGAGGTCTTCACTGAGTGTTTCTTCTTCTTCTTCCTCTTCCTTCCCAATAGCCGAGAAGCGAATGGTGATGGTCTCTCGAGAAATGGAGCGCTGGACCTCCACTTTTGGAGCAGTGGCTTTGGCAGAGGACTGTCGTGATTTTTCTCCATTGTTGCCGTCCAGACTGGTCATTGCAGTCTCACCCGTTTATCAGCACCTGCAAAGGAGGACACACTGTTATATCCCAAACACTTGGAAGCACAAGTGGAACAACATGAATAGGATTCTACAGACATGAATATCTGAACGCACGCACGCACAACATCTCTCATCAAACAAGAGCAGATATACATCCCTCCTGGAAGGCAACATACATGCCAAGATATGGGACACGCTTTGATAATCCTGCCTACACAACTTCATTCAAATGATCTGACCACTAAACAAAAAGCATAAAGCCCCTGCGGCCAGGCATACCGGTATTCCATAGCCCAGAACTGGTCTCTTTATTACGCAGGAGTCATATTTTTGCTATTGGTGGAGTCTTTTAAACAGCATTATCTGCAAGCCGATGACATATTATGGAGACTCCCGCTGTGCAGTTGTGTATTTCCAGGTTCTGTCCTCACCTGTCTTGAAGTCTTACTCCTTCAGCTGTAACAGGGGTGCTTTGTGTGCATGCTGGCGTATGATAAATTAGAAAATCCAGCAAGCATAGTGCAAACCCCTTTCAGTGTTCACAACTGAAAACTCCAATGCAGAGATCTCTCTAGTAGGTCCTTAGGTGATTTCGCACTTCAGCATCCAGCAACAACTAAAATGTCAGCCCTGAGAGATCCCAGGATGTGTGTATTTAGCAATACTCGCATACAGAGCTGGTGTTCAGCAAGGCGGCCATATAAACATACAGTAGGAAGCCATATCAGGAGAGGGAGGTGGCTCCCCTGTCATATGATCTGTAGTGAAAACCTGTTCATCCAGATTTTCAGGATATTGCCTACACACTGGTAAAGTAAACCTGGTGAATGACTTCTGGAAGTGCGACAGACAGGTGGAACACAGTCATGGTCATCCTGCTTCCTTGCACTGATTATACAGAATCATCATAGGATTGTGCAGAGACAAAGCAATCCTTCCGCCACTTTATAGATCGCTGGTTCCGCCTCATCTGGGGGTATGCGGTTCAGTTTTAGTCTCCAATCCACAGAAAGTATGTCCTGGAGCTGGAGAGAGTCCAGAGAAGGGCAACTAAACTAATGAAGGGTCTGGAGGACCTAAGCTATGAGACAAGGAGGAGAGGGGCGTCTGGAGGACCAAAGCTATGAGACGAGGAGGATAGGGCGGTCTGGAGGACCAAAGCTATGAGACAAGGAGGAGAGGGGGGTCTGGAGGACCAAAGCTATGAGACAAGGAGGAGAGGGGGGTCTGGAGGACCAAAGCTATGAGACGAGGAGGAGAGGGGGGTCTGGAGGACCAAAGCTATGAGACAAGGAGGAGAGGGGGGGTCTGGAGGACCAAAGCTATGAGAGGAGGAGGAGAGGGGGGTCTGGAGGACCAAAGCTATCCTGTTTCCCCGAAAATAAGACCCACCCTGAAAATAACACCTAGTACTATTTTTGGGAATAGCTAAAATATAAGACCTACCCCGAAAATAAGACCTAGTTGTGACCATTCCCAGGGCCGGTGGTGGCATAAAGGGGGAACCTGAAGAGCCGCGGCAGAGGCAGGAGAGAATCAGCGGCGCCAACGAAGCCAGCGCTAGAGGAAGTGAGGCGGCACCAGAGGGAGCAGAGCCGCATAAGCCGATGCCTCCTCTATAGCGCCGGCTCTCGTCACAGGCGGAGTCATACCGCCTGTGAGGAATCGATAGTGAAAGTGCGCTTCGCTCATCCTGGCCAGCAATTGGTTAGCAAAATTACTCTTGGAAGGGTACGGCACCCGATTGCCCTGATCACCATATTTTTGTACATGAATAAGTGTGGATTGTTGTACATTAAAAAAATAAATTAAATAAATAAGACCTACCCCGAAAATAAGACCTAGTGTGTTTTTTTGAGCCAAAAAAAATATAAGACAGGGTTTTATTTTCGGGGAAACACGGTATGAGACAAGGAGGAGAGGGTGGTCTGGAGGACCAAAGCTATGAGACAAGGAGGAGAGGGTGGTCTGGAGGACCAAAGCTATGAGACAAGGAGGAGAGGGGGGGTCTGGAGGACCAAAGCTATGAGACAAGGAGGAGAGGGGGGTCTGGAGGACCAAAGCTATGAGAAAAGGTTGTTAAATGTAAACTTGGTTATGCTGGAAGTGAGGAGACTAGGAGGGGACATCATTCTGATGTACAAAATGTTTAGTGGAGATGCAAGATGCAGTAATAAACGTTTTACTGTAAACTCCCTAACAAGGACTAGAGGCCGCCACCTAAAACTGGAGAAAAGATTAAGGGCCGGTGCACACCTAGGCGACCCCAATCGTGCATGATTCCGCACGGTCAGGAGTTGCTCAGGTGTGCGGGCTGGCGGAATTGCGGCACGAAACCGCGCAATCTGCTTGGCGCGACTGGGGTGCCATTGGAAAATAATGCGCGACAACAGCGCGATCGGTGCACACCCGAGTGACTCCTGAGCGTGCGGCAATCCGTGCGGAATTGTGCACGATTCCCACACGGTGGGGTGTCGCCTGGGTGTGCGCCGGCCCTTAACCACAAAGGGCGTAGGGGATTCATTTGAGTCAGAGCGGTTAGATTTTGGAACTCTCTGCCACAAGCCGTGGTATCAGCTGAGAGTATGGAATCATTCAGAAATCAGCTAGATCTGAAATAGTAGACCACACAGGGACTCTAACACACACCCATACACAAAGGTTGAACTTGATGGAACCGTGCCAGGAAATACTAACCTCAAATACTATGCGATTGGCTGACCCCAAAAATGCCTTATTACCATGCATGTGCAATACATACATACATACGTTTACCTATTTTGATTCTTAATGGTAAGTCCAGACCAAAAGAGGCCAAAGAAAGGTCCCATAATGGGTAAAAGGAGTTTCTGATCATAATAGATTTCCCGAATATACAATGATCGAGGATTACAGGTATGCTGGCACAGTAAAGATGTATGTTTATGTGGGCAGCATTGTCGCCGGCTCATCCTATCCTCTAGAACAGTGGTGGCACTCCAGCAGTTTCCTGCCAAAACTACAAATCCCAACATGCATCTGCCTCTGGGAGTTATGTCTGTGGCTGTCAGAGCCTTGCAATGCCTCATGGGAGTTGTAGTTCCAAAACAGCTGCAGTGCCGAGGTTCGCCACCACTGGTCTAGAATAACAAAAAGGAAGAAGGTTATTTACTAAAGAGCCGAAGGATTATGGTGAAGCTTCGGCTCACTTTGGCCACCGGAGCCCTTTGGTTCAGCCGGACCAAGGGCCATTCACAATACCTTTAGGTCTGGTAGGAATGTTAGGAGGAACAGAGGTAGCGAGCAGAATAATGGAGCCGAATACCACTCAGAAGCATTCAGCTATTGGCTCCCTGCTGTTCGGCCCCTATGAGAATACATGAGAATAGGGCGGATCGATGGATCGAGGGTTCACTTCACTTTGGCTTGTTTATTCACTCGGCTGCCTTAGTGAATAACCCCCCTAAGTGGCACCTTCCCTTTCCTCATTGGGGGAATCTGACTCTAGTCTTAAGATGATACTAAAGTCATTGCAAATGTTAATGAAATCTCCTACAATGGATGCTGCTCCCTGATGTGTGAACATTTTATTTTCCTGTGGAATCACCTGGTCCCTTGAGCTCTGGTCCTGGTATCCTGCCTTAGGGTGGCTCCTTTCCCTTGCAGGGTCCTATGGAACCACCCTTGTGTGTGTTTGTATGCTGTGTGTCTCAACAAACACACAGACAGAGCAGGGCACCCCCTTCCTTGCTCTCCTCTACTCCCTCTTCCCATTTCCAGGCTAGTAGATGGGCGGCTGCTGGAGACTGTGCTGTCCTTGTGATCTTGTACTGGACAGGAAGTTCAGGAAAGCTGAGCTGAGAGAGTTGGGGCCAGCTGTTTGGAAACATGATAGAGAAAAATGTAGAGAAATACTTTACTAGGCGATGTATATTTGTTTGATCTGAAATTATTATAGAAAATGTTGTTTAATACTACTTTAATTTTAGGTGACCAGGACACATGTTCCCAGCAAGATCCCACCCCGCACATACTTATTGGTATTTCCCTTGCATCTTGCGCCCCAGCTCACCTCTCGCTATCTCACTCCCTACATGACATAGAGCTATCCTTCACATTGGGGAAGAGTACTCCCTACATCCCATTCTCCCTCTCTGTTCTCCTCCCAGCTCTCCTTTGCAGACGGGGACTTCCTGTTTCCTGTCATTAGTACTGGAGACAATAAACTTGACATCTTTATGGTCCATGTAAAACCTCTCACTTTGTCCTCCCCTACACACTATCCTTTGTAATGTTATTACCTTCTCTCCTTCCTTATTGACACCTTTGTGGATTGCACAGATTCTGGGGCGATTGCATGCCCAGGAAGTGAAGAGTGTGGCAGCATATGGCAGATAGAGTGCATACATACACACAGTCGGTTGGTACTAGGCAAAGGGGGTACAGTTGCAGTAGGTGCTAAAAGAAAGGGGGGTGCAGGTACTGACAATGCAAACAGAAGGGGGTGGCTGCAGAGAGAGCTGTGAGGGGTGCGGATGTGGTGGGGGAACAGAGGTATAGACGCTGCGGTCTGCGTGGTGTGTGCTAAGAGATGCCATGGAAGTAAGTGGTCAAAGAATGGGGGGTGTAGGAGTGGTGGATATAGGAGAAGGGGGGGATTTGATGCATGAGTGATGGGTGATGAGAGTAAGGAGACTGCAGGCGTGGTGCATGGTGGGGTGGCTAGCTGAGATTGCAGGAGGGAGGGTTGGGTGATAGTGGGGGGAGGCATTGCTGAGAGGATGGGGAATGATGGAGGACAGAGGATGGGGAGTGATGGGAGATGGAGGAGGATGGGGAGTGATGGGGGATGGAGGAGGACAGATAGGGTTGCCACCTGTCCAGGATTCACCCGGACAGTTCGGGTTTTGAATGCTGTGTTCGGGTTTCATGGCAGCAGAAACCCGGACACAAGATGTCAGGCAGACAGGGGCAACCAAAATGAAGATAGGGGCTACTATACATATGAATTGGCGGCAATTTTTATATATGAATAAGCCG